GTTTACAGTATTGCAATATATCGGGATATATCATATCGTGACCCCTCTGTCATGATATGTATCATATCGCCAAATTCTTGCCAATACACAGCCCTACTTGACACGCTAGCTTCTCTCAGTAGTTTCATAAAAAACAAGCAGCAGGTAGCACCAGGTTGGAGACAACTATTATCATCCTAAAATAATCACCCAAGTTTTTTGTTGGCTAAATCGAGTTAAACAATTATTTTAGGAAGGATTTGCTATAATGAACGCTTTAACTCGTGACCAAATAACTGTTGGTTAGTTACCTCACAGGAACATCACAAGCTGAAGGATGCATTGGCAAATTTGTTTATACAAACTATAAAAAAAAAACTAATACTAGAACTAATAAAAACTAAACTAAAACTAAGCATTAAAATGCAATAATAACTAATAAAAAAATAGCAAATCCACTGTAAAAACTATTTAAACAAACTGAATTAAAAGAAAAAAGTCAACGAAAGAAAACTAAACTATAATGAAAAATCCTTAACTATAACCTTGATGTCACCAACTGGTCTAGGATCCAGCAGCTGATCAATAGTTTTGTTTTTCACTCAGTTTTGAATTTTGCTCTTGTTTTGTTTATTAAATAACCTGATGTAATGTGTGTGTTTTTGTTAACTCCAGGTTAGATTTGAATTATTTTGGAGTCTGTTAAACAAGATTATTTGATTATATTCTTCTACAGACGACCCTACATTTAACAGATGGTGGACTTTCTTTTTCTCACAACTGTCAGTGCTGGTGGTAAAACCATGTGTATTTTACTGACAGTGTACAACAAGCAGAGCAAAGTACTTACTTAGAGTTGCCCATGCTGTCGAGCACTACTTTCCCACCTCGACAGGACGGGTAACGGTTGTAAAAAAACTCGTAGAGCATGCCATCGTCCACGTCTGGAGTTAGATCGCCCACAAACAAAGAATACATCTGACTGGAGGAGAGAGAAAGACAGCAGAGTTTTATTCACAAAGCAGCTAACATGAGGCAAGTCTTTATGTGCAGTCAGATTATTTTATACTATCATCAAGTCGTTCTAAGAACCATAAGTTCTGAGGGGTTATCTGCTTCCTGTACTCACCCAGTTTCCTGCTTCCCAAAGGTGGCTCGGTTTAACTTAAATCTTGTAGGCTACAACAAAGAGATATTAAAATTTAATGTGTCATTTTTTAAAGTTTCCATTACAGAGGAGAAGAAGAAAAATAAATGTATAAAGTGAATGTTAAAGTGCGTACCGGACTGGCCCCTGGCAAAGATTTCCCATTGATTTTGCGTAGACACCTCTCAGCGGTGGCCTCATCGGGCATCTCCACGAAGCAGTAACCCATAGCCCCTCTGATGGACAACACATGGTTAAAGGTCACAATAAAAGCAGCATAAAAACCGCCGCTGCCTGTGGACCCAGCTCTCACCCTGTCATCTTGTTTCGAATGATGCGCACGTTCGCCACGTCCTCCCCCATCGTGGAGAAAGCCCTGGTGATGAACTTCTCATCCATGTAGGTTTCCAGCTGCAGGAACAGGCACATCAGGAATCACTGCTGGTTACCATCACAGTTAAACTGCACTTTTCTCCAGAGCTCCCATTATATTACTGCCCAAAGGCAAAAACAACATGAACCACTAGGCGGATTTTAGAGAAACCCAGAGAAAGTAAGAACTGAATAAATATCTACTATTGGTCAACTTTTAGAGGTAAACTGGTTCAAGATGACTGCCACAGCTAAGCTAATTTAGCAAATACAAACATGGCGTTACCTAAATCAATTTATAGCTGAGCTGAAAGTGGTGTGGTGGTAACTGAGAGTCTTCTCAAACATAATTTCAGCAAAGAAACTGAAGTTGGTTTCCCATTCCAGCTTCCGAGTCGGTACTAAAGGGCGATTACAACTAATTTTTCACCACCTTGAGCGTATTTAATCTGCTCTAGCTACAAAACTACAAAACCTAGACTCTTCAAGCCCGGACTAGATTATTCTACACGGATAGAAGAATATTTAAAACTAAGTTTGAGGTTTGTGAAAGTTTTTGCTGATTTGTGAAACTTCAATAAAAGTAGTTTTCACCTAATTTTAGGCATCTGGACCACACTAGACCTGGCCCTGCTCCAAGACTACAAACCCTAAACTCTTCAAACCTGGACTAGATTATTCTACACGGATAGAAGAATATTTAAAACTAGGTTTGAGATTTGTAAAAGTTTTTTTTTCTGATTTTTGAAACTTCAATAAGTCGTTTTCACCGAATTTTAGGCATCTGGACCACACTGGACCTGGTCCAGCTCAAAAACTACAACACTTAGACTCTTCAAACCTGGACTAGATTATTCTACATGAATAGAAGAATATTTAAAACTAGGTTTGAGATTTGTGAAAGCTTTTGCTGATTTGTGAAACTTCAATAAAAGTCAAAAAGAAAAAAATTGTATAGGTCTTCTGGACGGGTTCTTCTCTAATGAAACGTTTCGTCACGGTTTCATTAGAGAAG